ATAGTCACACAAACAAGGAGAGGATTCCGGTGGCGCCGATGAGACTCAGTTTAGCAACACTGCCAGCAATTAACACCAGTGCTGGGGGTGGTGGTGGAGAACAAGCTCTACAAGTCTGTGAGACGCTGGCACTGCTACTTGTTCGATATGGTGACAATTGTAAGATAAATTTTACAAATCATGAAACAGACCATAACAGAAAGAAAATCTTTGATTTAAGCTATAACATGGCAATCTTGCCCTCTCCAAACAAAGCATTTTAAAACTGCAGTCTGAATAAATAGGTTGGAAATATTATTAAAAATTCTGTTGGGAATCCAAACAGATTTGATCTAAGTTAACACTGAATTTAAATATCTATTAATATCCTTTGAAATAAAATTCACTACAAAATCAAAACAATCTCATCAAAGTCATAGTGGCCATATTTAAACACCAGACGGGTCTAAGCTTGACCAGACACTGCAAATAAACCCAGGTGAAAAGATGAGCCATGGATCTTATTACACTGTCCATGGGTAGCAGTCTTTTGATATCTTCAGAGTCAAAAATCTCGTTTTCTCTAAATTATTTTGATGTGAGTCTGACCCATTATCAGTTATAAAAACAAAATTAAACATTTTTACCCCTTTTTATGCAAATTATCCTAGACTTAGAGAAAAGTTGTCAGACTATCACAAAGAACATACTGTTCCTCATAGACTGTCATTACGCCTCCAAAGCCCCAAGTATTCTACTGTATATTAGCTACATATAGATATTTTCCTAAATAATACCAATTTAACAATTAAAGCTTAAAAATTAACACTGAGGAACTACTACATGTAACCCTCAGACCCCTTTCACGTTTTACCAACTGGACCACTGATGTCCTTTAGAGCAACAAGGCCCAGTGCAGGTGACACACTGCATTTATTTAGTCTTGTTCACCCTGGAACAGCTCCCTTGTCTCGCGTGATCTGGATGCATTTGAAGATTACAGGCTAGTTATTTTGTAGACTGTGCCTTAATTTCAGTCTGGTGTATCTTTATAATTGGACTTGAGTTATGCATCACTGGTAAGAATATCCTAGAAGTGATGCTGGGTTCTTCTCACTGCTCTATAAGGTGCTCACAGGTCTGACTTGACCATTACTGGTGTTAACTTTGACCACCTGACTGGGTGGTATTGCCAGGGTTCTCCAATATAAAATTATTCTTTTTCCGCTTTTAATTATTTTGTATGGAGATATTTTGTGTGATTATATAAATATCCCATCCCTCATCACTGATTTTATTAATTTATTTATATAATTATTAACTTATGGGTTTGTTTTATTCACGGGGTCATAATTTATATCTCTCATTATTTATTTTGATGGCCAAACTGTCCTAGTCTTGGCCAGCTGGAGTCTCTTTAAACTGGCTCTATATCTTGGTGACATGTCACTGCCATTCTTCAACTACTTGCTTACTTTCAGGCTCATCCTACCTTTCCCTGCTGCAGTTATGGAATCTACTGCACCTCCAAAGAGTCCTAGTTCCCATGTAGGACACTTCCTCCCATGAGCCTCCTGAGACTCGAAGAGGTGGGCTCTTCCCTCATCTCTTTGACCTTCCTAACTCCAGCTCCACTGTTTTGTTTCACTAGCGAACATGGTATATGAGAGAATGGTATATGAGAGAACACTGCACTACTTCTTATGTTCTCATCTTAAAGAACAATAAGTTGGTGAATCTCCAAAGTAAAGTGGTGAAATGATTTAAAATCGAGCAAATTTAAGACTACATATGTCTATAGTATTTTACCCTGTACAATTTTAAAATTACAGTAAAAACTCTCTTGACTGCCTCTCTTCTCTAAATTCTGTTACCTAACACACAATATTCTAATTGAATACGCTACACTGGACACTGATCTGAAATGTACTAGACAGTTTGATCTGTAACAGTGGTAACTGTTAAACTTTAATATTTTCTCACTGAAAGTATCCATGACCATATTCCCAAGTGTTGGACTGTAGATAAATAATAAGATACTCGATAATCTTTTCAACTAATGGACAAAGTCATGGCTCATCTTTCTTAATGGGACTGATGAAGCTGAGTCACTGATGAAACACTTGCTTCCAAGTACATTATTTGGGATATTAACAGGACCATAATTTTATATGTACAGAAGCAGTAAATCATTTCAAGGGAGTCAAGAGTCAGGAAAACCAGCAGAACATATGAACTGGCTTGACGGTGCATGAATTTGTATAATATCCTTTCTTTAAAGAATCCAATTGAGAATGGAAAGTGATGGGGTTACACACAAGGCTCTATTATAAAACATGAGGAAAGATACATCATTTTTTTAATCACTTAAAAATGTATGCTGGTAAAATACATTGAATTACTTTACTGTCTGATAACTATGTCCTGAGGAATAGAAAAGATATATTTATGTACATTGTAACAACGACACAGTTCTTCCTGGAACAGTATAAATTTAGCATGAAATTATGAGCCAGGGACTTCCAAATGGTTTTGAATGAATTCTTCTAACAGCGCTGTGCAATAACCATTATAGTACGTGGTCATTTTTACAAAGCTAAAGCTTTGGGATATACTCTGCCCAAGATAACACAGCTAATAAATGGCAATTCTGAGTTAAAAATAGATGGTCTGTAAGTTAGCACAAACTTAAGTATGTTGCTAAAGTGGCATGAAAAAAATAAACCAAAAAAAGGCAACAGAAAATGGACATTAAAGTTAAAATAAAATATATTTGAAAAAAAGATTATTTAAAGAAAGAAAAGGAAAAGACAGAAATGAAGGGCTCAGATAACTTAGAAATGGAGAGAGAATAAAGACAAGCTGTGGAAGACAGCATGCTGCTTAGGCACAGGGTATAAAATAGGAAAACTGTCTGCTTTCTCTGGGATATTCTAGTGACTATATTGCAGTGGTATAAATTCAGCTTAGAAACTGTTTTTAAATTTGAAGAACTTCTTTCTACTCAGCATATGCTCTTTTCTTTATCAGAAACCTTATTGGATAATAAATTTAAGTAAACATTGAAAGAAAAAGTACTTTGTTTCATGAAGCTGAAATAAGGGGGAACTTGTAACATGGTAAGCTCAAACAGAAGCACCAACCCCCAGTATTTTAATTTTTATTTAATAATATTAATCTTTTACTGACTTCCTTGGGTTCTCAAGGGTCTAAGTAAATCTTAATAAGCAATCAAAACACCTTAAAGTTAGGAACCTACTACCATCAAGAAAGAACTACCCCCCCCCCCAAAAG